TTACTGTAGTAGTTACTGTAGTAGTAAGTAGTAGTAGTAGGTAGTAGCAGTAGTTACTGTAGTAGTAGTAGTAAGTAGTAGTTTATTTTAGTATTTATATATGGTATATATTAACATACTTATATGTACAGTAGCTACTAAATTTTACTTACTAGCTCTGCAGAACAGTATCGGCTCTGGTTCTGGTCCAACCCTGTTCTGTTCCAACCCGGTTCGTTCCTGCAGTCCTATCCTGCAGCAATGAAGCCCACAATCAGTCCTCTAAACTGTATGTTTAGACATAAAGTTACAGCTACAAATAACATACTTACATGTAGCTACTAAATTTTACTTACCAGGCTCTGCAGTACAGGAGCGTCTCTGTTCCGGTCCGACCCGATAAATGAAAAAAGTCTCAGTACAGCATGACTGAAGCCCACCGCCCCATTCAGATTGATGTGCATGTGCTACTGCTCCAGGAGCAAGGCTCCCCAGGATTTAATCCACCACCTCTGGCCTGGTCTGGTCCGGCACCATGTGAACAGAACCTGACTGAATCCCACAGCCGTCTGTTGCCTGCAGCTCCCAGGATCCGGGTCACACTGAGTCCAGATCAGCTGCAGCTACTCAGCAGTGAAGATACAACTTGAAGGACGAGTTCAGCTTCAGAATTATTTGTGACCTTCCTGCCAGTTCTGTGAGATTATCCTAACAGAACTTCTAATCTTTATGTTGCAAAACTTTCCCTCCATTTGCAGCAAGCAGCGGTTGAAAGCAGTGTTGACTTCTGGGAAGTGAACTAATGGCTTCTGGGTAACGTAATTCTTTAGACTGGCCAAACATTGAAGGCTTAATGAAAGAAAACTACAAAATGGTGGCACATTTTTATTTTATTTTATTTTAATATTATGTACAGTACTGTACGTCCACAAACCACGATAGAGCGAGTCCGTGAAAGTCGAACCGCGAAGTAGCGAGGGACTACTGTACACAAAAATGGTTACAACTCTGTCCTTTGTAGAAAAAAATGAGCTGATATTTTATATGGTGGTAGCTGAGAGTCATCCCCAACACATACACTGAGCACTAACTTATTGCAAATCTAAAAAAAAAAAAAAAAAAGGTTAACAAGGTTCTTTGTTCCTGGAGTTGTTTTTGTTTTTTTAGCCTTTTCTTTGGACTGATCATGACCTGGAAGACGGAGAATCTTCACCACTAACTGACTGCGGAACATTTTTGTTTGAACTCTGCCATGCAAAGCAGTGAGTGCTATGCATTCCTTCACAGACAGTTTCTTTTATATACAACAATCACCGCATGTTCACTCTTGAACAAAATGGCCTGTTTAAAAATTGGAAATGCTACTATTTTGTAATGTTGCTTGTGTTTTTTGCCTATTAAAATGAGCTCTGTTGTGTGTAAAAGGTGGCCAGACTATGGAGAACGCCAAACCTCAGCAACCTTTGGTACAACACAACAGTCGGGGTAAGTGAGGCAACTGGGTGCTATTTCATTTTAAACAACGATCTTTAAAAATTAATCTTAATAAAATTAATCTACTTGCACGATGAAAACTCAATTTTTTGTGGCCAAGATGCAAATGTTGCTAACCTTAAAGATCTGACTTTAAAACCACCATGGATTAGTGGTTAGTACTCTTGCCTCACAGTCTGATTGGAACTGAGCTCTTTCTGTTTGGAGTTTGCACGTTGTCCTCGAGTTTGTAAGTTTTTCCGGGAACTCCGGTTTCCTCACACAGTCCAAAAACATGCACATTCAGCTGCCTTCAGGCCCAGGTTTGCCTTGCAAAAAAGAGATTTGTCTTTTTAAATAAAGGTAAAAATAAAAAGGGTTTATGTACTCTGATAAATTTATCGAATAGTCTGGTTTTCTTGTATTCTGCTGCTTTGTCCTGGATTTAAAAAGGGCCAACATTGTGCAAACAGAGGTTTTATGATAACCAAGCTGCAAACTCTATGCAGTTTCCCATTTCCTTGTTTCTTGTGTTGCAAAGACACAAGACTTTATCGACCACTGACTCACTCTAATGTCTCTTTATGCTGCTATTTGCTGCATTTTAGTTCCTCACTGAATTTTTCAATATGTACATTGTGGTAAAAGTACTTTCCTATAACTGTGCCAAACATTTTCAATACTTGCATTTATCTGTTTTTGTCATTTTTTCATTCCCATTACAGCAGTGCCAGTTTCGTTCCATCTGTCCACTCTTTCCCTGCAACCGCCTGATCAGAGGATGAGAGCAACTTTGCTCAGATGTAAGTACTTCAGATTTATTCCTGCTAAACTGACTCCAAAGTTTCAGCCTTCCATCAATAAATTGAATTATAGGGATATTAGAGAATCAAGTCTAGACTCATTCATTTTGAATGGCAGTCATGGTGTATTTATGACACCCTGGTTTATTGTTAGTGGCGGAGCTTCTACCTGTTGCAGCTGACAAGATGACAGCACACCAGCAACTTGTTAAGGATTAATAATTCATTAAGAGGAGGATGAAGGCTATCTGTGTCTTTTGTTCCTTGTGTGACAAAATGCCAACTGAAATCCTGAATGTATTAACATCTTTAATGACATCCTACCCACACTAACCGAGTTGTAAACCCTGTAGGTTTTGCTCATTGTGTTCAGTGAGTAGGCTAATTGCTATCAATGGTACAAATTGAAAACAATGTATTTGATTGCAAGTCATACATTCAAACCAGTGACGTGCGGTGAGGTTTGTGACAGGTGAGACACATCTGGAATCGAATGCTCATATACATGAACCCAAAATAGAAGCTTATATTTCAATTTATCCTTTTTTTTTTTTTTCTTTTAAAAAGGCATCTACTGGTAATTATGCTTTAATCAACTCCATAGTCCTCTCTTTTTAAATGTAAAAAACAAACAAGTATTATCTTACCTTTATTTTAAGATGAATGAGTTTAGAAAAATCCTTTAGTTTTGAGATATGATCTTCTGTTTTGTCTAAACAAATTTAAACGAGTGTACTGATTTGCTACACCCCTGGCCCTCTGCATAACAAGGTACAGCGACTGCACCTGCTTCATTGTCCTTATGGGGCAACACTGCCCCCTATTGGTACGGCAAGGTACTTTCTGCCTCACCCTGTGTATTTTCACTGTGCATTATGACCAGTTAGAAAGAAGAAATATGTCACACAAGTTCATTCAATATGTTAGACAGACTGTAGAACATCACCATGTGTAACACATGTGTAATCAAACATGTATATTGGTTATATAAGTAGAGAGACAGCAATGGGGATGCGCCAACCACCTATTTCATATATTGTATATGACACAGCGCCCCCAGAGGTGAGCCAGAGCACTACACTGCCTCACCCGCATTGTTTGAACAGGTAATGCGTAAATTCTGTGATTTTGACCATTGAAGTGTTGAAATAATTCAGAAAACAGTTTTATAAAACATTTTTATGGAACAGTCGAGTGGTCAAATGTTTTTTTCTCTCCTCATAGTTAATATTTTACTTGTCATGATGACAGATGAGGCACTGCCTCCCCTGACTGCACGTCACGGATTCTAGCACTGCAGCATCATGTTCACAAATGGCAGCTGTTGTGTACTTTATCTGGAACTGATTTAATGAGGTACAAATAGAAATAAATACTAATAAGACATTTATAACTGCAGCTATTACCACTTTTGATGTCCAAGGCGGCCATTTTGGATTTCCAGTTGAAGCTGTTGAAAAGAGTACAACTTTCCCAGTCAGAATTCTGACTTTAGGGGCATCCCATTATGTATTCATTTAATTGTTTGCTTGTCTTGGAGCTTGTGAATCTGACTTGTTAATACAAATTAAATATAATTTGAACTTATTTATGCCTTCTGACCCAGGTTTTCAAAAGCATGTTGCCTTAGGGGAGTGGTGGTGCAGAAGTTAGAGAAGATGGGCCTGTGATCGAAAAGTCACAGGTTCAAATCCCAGTATACCATTAACATCAAAATGTGGGTGGAAAAGGTGAAACACCCACACCTGCCTCCACCCTCATTTGCCTCACTCTGGGCCCCTGAGCAAGGCCCTCAACTCCCACCATTTGCTCCCAAAAACCGGTCTTTATTGGAAATGAGTTCTTGTGATTCAATGAGACAACGTGTATAAAAGGGTAAATGAAAAAAAAAAAAAAAAGGTAGAACATTATTGTGGTTTTATTCATGTGTGTAAAATGTTTAAAAGTTTACTAATTTCATATTTTTGTTCTTGCCTTCAGTTTCATGCCACTTGTCATTGGACCCCGTTACAGCCTATCCTACTCTTGTCCTTCTGGAAGGACCTCAGGGTGCTCATTGTGGCGAGGAGGCTCAGCCTTACCCCCCTCACCCACACAGGTTTGACTCAGTGTCACAGGTCCTGTGCAGGGAGGGCCAGTTTGAGGGTACCAGGTACTGGGAGGTGGAGTGGAGAGGAGGCGGATGGATTGACATCGGCGTCACATCGCTGTCGATCGGACGTAAAGGTGGCGGAAGGCCCTGCCTGCTCGGGCGCAACGAGAACTCTTGGAGGCTGAGGTGCACACATGTTGGGTATTCTGCTTGGCACGATAACCTTAAGACCACCGTGGCGGCACCCCCCTGCCCAAGGATTGGCGTGCTCCTTGAGCGTGAGAAAGGGACCTTATCCTACTACAGTGTGTCGGACACCATGGTGCTCCTGCACACATTTAACTGCCAGTACTCTCAGCCCTTGTATCCGGCTTTCCGTCTGGATTTGGACTCGACCCTGCTCATCTGCCCCCCTGAAGGAGGCAATAGAACCTAACACCATCACCCTCCCTATTCTGTACCTTTTCTTGCACCCCAACATGGAGTAAAAAGGGGAACTGGAAATACCTTCCATCTGTCTGTCTTGTGAACATGATAACTTGAGATACAAGTCAGGTTCGTGACTGCATCTAAGCACAAGAAAGCCCCTGTCAAAAATTGGGTTGCCATGTCAAACCAAGATTGTTGCTGCTTTATATGTATGTATGTAAATTTTGTGAGCTGGATATCTTGAAAAATAAGCAACGTGCTGACTTTCATTTTGGTGTGTGGCTCCATTTAGGCATAAGAAAGGTCACTATCAAAAATTGGGTTGCCACATCAAATCCAAGATGGCCACCACCTTATATACAGTATATGTAAACTGGCCACCTCAATAATTTGAGTAAACTATACTTTCTAGTTTTTATATTGCTTAAAAGTATAGTTTCATCAAATGACTGGGGTGGCCGAAGATTAATCTAAGATGGTCAAGGCCACCCCCTTGCAATGGCCCTTCCATTTCTCCTGGTAGTGCATAAATTACTCCTTCGGCTTGCCAGGATCTGTCAGTCTACACCTCCACAGACAAGAAGAAAAAAAAAACACCTCTGTTTTTCTACACAGTGTAACTCCCACACACTTCAATATCTTTCACCAAAAACATTAAGCCTCACGTGCATTCCTTGTTCAGATCCAGTCCAGAAAAATGCTCATCTTAAATTAGTGACGGGGACATCTCAATGAGGTTGTTCTTTCTGCAGATCAGTTCAAACAATAAAAATGTCTTTAAAAAAAACAACAACCTAATGTCATATTTAATCAGGTAATGGAGATTTGATTTGGTTTTATGTTTTAAAAGCGAGAACTGATCTGGTTTTAAATGTGAGGAGGGTGCATGTCAGCTAAACTTTTAACAGCCAGAGTCCCACTGTGAACTCTCGACTGCAGCTTCTCTCAGGAAACGACAATCCACCTGAAACTTTCATTATTATGCAGCTTTCCAGTGACCTCACCTTCACTCCCAGCAGATCCTGACTATAGACCATAGCTGTGCCTAATTTGGAAACATTTTGTTCAGGATTTTCTTAAAAGTGCTTTTTATTTCAGGGGATTATGATCAATGTGACTGACGGTGTAAGGCTTTTAAAGTTTAACTTTAAAGAATGGACAAAATCAAAACATTATCCCAAAGACGAGTCACAAAGTAGATTCTTATCAGACAAGATGGCACACGACACAATTATTTGCTTAAACGGCATATTATTTATTGTTTTAACATGATTAAGTGACTTCTTTGTTTGGATCTGTAAAGTTTCTACAAACCGGATTCTAAAAAAGTTGGGACACTAAACAAATTGTGAATAAAATCTGGATGCAATGATGTGGAGGTGCCAACATCTAATATTTTATTCAGAATAGAACATAAATTACAGATCAAAAGTTTTAAACTGAGAGAATGTATCATTTTAAGGGAAAAATCTGTTGTTTCCAAATTTCATGGCATCAACAAATCCCAAAAAAGTTGGGACAAGTTCATTTTTACCACTGTGTGGCATCCCCCCTTCTTCTTACAACACTCAACAGACGTCTGGGGACAGAGGAGACCAGTTTCTCAAGTTTAGAAATAGGAATGCTCTCCCATTCATGTCTAATACAGACCTCTTAACTGTTCAATCGTCTTGGGCCTTCTTTGTCGCACCTTCCTCTTTATGATGCACCAAATGTTCTCTATAAGTGAAAGATCTGGACTGCAGGCTGGTCATTTCAGTACCCGGATCTTTCTCCTACGTAGCCATGATGTTGTGATTGCTGCAGAATGTGGTCTGGCATTATCGTGTTGAAAAATGCAGGGTCTTCCCTGAAAGAGATGACGTCTAGATGGGAGCATATGTTGTTCTAGAACCTGAACGTAGTTCTCTGCATTAATGGTGCCTTTCCAGACATGCAAGCTGCCCATGCCACAAGCGCTCATGCAACCCCATACCATCAGTGATGCAGGCTTCTGAACAGAGCGTTGATAACAACTTGGGCTATCCTTGTCCTCTCTGGTTCGGATGACATGGCGTCCCAGTGTTCCATAAAGAACTTCATATCCTGACTCATCTGACCACAGAACAGTCTTCCATTTTGCCACACTCCATTTTAAATGACCCCTGGTCCAGTGCAAACGTCTGAGCTTGTGGAGCTTGTTTAGAAATAGCTTCCTCTTTGCACTGTAGAGTTTCAGCTGGCAACGGCTGATGGCACGGTGGATTGTGCTCACTGACAATGCTTTCTGGAAGTATTCCTGAGCCCATTCTGTTATTTCCTTGACAGTGGCATTCCTGTTTGAGGTGCAGTGACGTTTAAGGGCCCGGAGATCACGAGCATCCAGTAGAGTTTTACGGCCTTGACCCTTACGCACAGCGATTGTTCCAGATTCTCTGAATCTTTTGATGATGTTATGCACGGTTGATGATGATAACTTAAAAGTCTTTGCTATTTTACGCTGGGTAACACCATTCTGGTATTGCTGCACTATCTTTCTGCGCAACAATGGCGGAATTGGTGATCTTCTTACCATCTTGGCTACTGAGAGACACTGACACTCTGAGAAGCTCTTTTTATATCCAATCATGTTGTCAATTGACCTAATTAGTGTTAATTGGTCTTCCAGCTGTTCGTTATATGCTCAATTTCCTTTTTCCAGCCACTTATTGCTACTTGTCCCAACTTTTTTGGGATTTGTTGACACTGTGAAATTTTGAATCAACATATTTTTCCTTTAAAATGTTACATTTACTCAGATTAAACTTTTGATCTGTCATCTATGTTATATTACGAATAAAATATTGACATTTGCCATCTCCACATCATTGCATTCAGTTTTTATTCACAATTTGTTTAGTGTCCCAACTTTTTTGGAATCCGGTTTGTATCATGGCATCATTTTGATAACTTTCCAACACACCGTTGCCTCCATAACTGTTTTCTGTGTCACTGAAAAATATGCTTGAATGTTTTTGTTTAGTTTATATATATATATATATATATATATATATATATATATATATATATATATATATATATATATATATATATATATATATATATATATATATATATATATATATATCACCAGAATTATTTCTCTCCACAGTGATCTGTTTGACAAATGTCATTGTTCAATACGTATGTGAATAGATATTAGATGTGTATGAGTACAAAGTACACTCACAGCTGTCTAATATGTATAAATATCACTGAATTACTTGCATTATATCTTTGTGGGAGTTTAAATCATTATTTAAAAAAAATTTAAATAATAATTTAAGATCGAACATTGTTTGACAATCTGCACATCACCACCTGTCAGGCCGGAGCTTTAGAGTAAAATCATCTTGTGTTGAGAAATGAAGGCGTTTTGGTCAAATCTTAAACAAATTTCACAATCCCATGATGTCACTCTAAAAGTATGGGTTGGAAATAACTGCTACTATCACAACAAATTTTTAGCAAAATTGAATGAATTATAGTTTTTTTTCGTGTTATCTAAGGTCAGTTGCTGTGGCAGCCATCTTGAATTGAGTTAACTCCATAAGTTAATCAACTACAGAGATGTAGTGCATCCACATTTTATTATGTTACAGTCTTATTCCAAATTGTATTAAATTAATATCTTTCCTCAAAATTCTACACACAATACCCCATTATGACAATGTGAATTTTTTGGATATTTTTGCTAATTTATTAAAAATATAAAACTAAGAAATCACATTTACTTATTTATTCACAGCCTTTGCCGTGAAGCTTCAATCTGAGCTCAGATGCCGTTTCCACTGATCACCCTTGAGATGTTTCTACAACTTAAATGGAGTCCACCTGTGGTCAATTCAGATGAATGGACTTGATTTTTGGAAAGGCGCACACCCGGTTGGCATGTCAGAGTGCAAACACCGGGCGTGAAGTCAAAGGAATTGTCTGTAGACCTCTGAGACAGGATTGTGTTGAAGCACAAATCTGGTGAAGGATACAGAAACGTTTCTGCTGCTTTCAAGGTCCCAATAAGCCCAGTGGCCTCCATCATTCATATATGGAAGAAGTTTGGAACCACCAGGACTCTTCTTGGAGCTGGTCGTCTAAACTGAGCAACCGGTGGAGAAGAGTCTTAGGGAGTTGAGCAAGAACCTGATGGTCGCTCTGTCCGAGCTCCAGCGGTTCCTCTGTGGAGACAGAACCTTCCAGAAGGACAATCATCTCCGCAATAATCCACCAATCAGGCTGTATGGTAGAGTGACCAGACAGAAGCCACTCCTTAATAAAAGGCACCTGAAGAACTCTCAGACCATGAGAAACAAAATGTTCTGGTCTGATGAGGCAAAGATTGAACCCTTTGGTGTGAATGCCAGGTGTCATGTTTGGAGGAAACCATCTCATCACCAGGCCAATACCATACATACAGTGAAGCATGGTGGTGGCAGCATCATGCTATGGGGATGTTTTTTTCAACAGAGGAACTGGCAGACTTGTCAGGATAGAGGGAAAGATGAACGCAACAATGTGCAGAGACATCCTGGATGAAAACCTGCTCCAGAGCGCTCTTGACCTCAAACTGGGGCGGCGGTTCATTTTTCAGGAGGACAACAACCCAAAGCACATGGCCAAGATCTCAGAGTGGCTTCAGGACCAGTCTGGGAAGGTCCTGGAGGGGCAAAGCCAGAGTCCAGACATGAATCTGATTGAACATCTCTGGAGAGATCTGAAAATGGCTGCACACACGTCTCCCATCCAACCTGATGGAGCTTGAGAAGTACTGCAAAGAAGAATGGGACAATCTGTGTAAAGACAGGTGTGCTCAGCTTGTGGCATCATATTCAAAAAGACTTGAGGCTGTGAAAGGTGGATCAACCAAGTATTAATAAAAGGTGAATAATTACGTAAATGTGATTTCTTAGTTTTCTATTTTCAATAAATTTGCAAAAATCTCAAATCTTTGTTTCACATTGTCATAACGGGGTATTGTGTGCAAAATTTTGAGGAAAGACATATTAATATAATTTGGAATAATGTTGAAACAAAAAGTGGAAAAAGTGAAGCGCTGTGAATACTTTCTAATGATTTCTAAAAGTTTTATTCAAATCCGTCTCATGGTTCATGAGCTATTTGTCTAACAGACACAAAGAGTTGGCTCCAAATAATTAATTAAAAAAACATCTATCAAATGCATCACGTGTTGGAGGTCATTCGCAGATATGCCACATCAAATTTGATCTCATAAGTAAATATGAGTTGGGTTTCATGTGGTTCATTAAATATTTTGCTAACAGACAGACGTGGACATAAACCTGGGGCAAAAAGTTAAACTGAACAAGAAAAGTAAGAAGAACTAATCGAGGCATTTTGAAGGAGACGGTTCTCTAGTCAGAAAACAAAGCAACACTGAATTAAAACTACTTTAATGCTCAATAATCCAGGTTAAAAAATCCAACAAAGTTAAATTAGGTCATCTGGATGGTTTCTTTTTTTGTTGAGTTGTTTTGTCCTTAATCCAAAGGACTTCATCAGTCCCAGGAGCCCCAACAAACTCAGTCACACAAGCAGCACACTCCCATAGTGGACCAACCAGTTTGCTGGTGATAAAATGGTTTTTGTGGCCCTCCCTCTCCCCCGTCGACTCCTGTGAGGCAGCCATAGTCAAAATGGTTCAAAACATCAAAGTTCATGCTCAATAATCCAGGTAAAACAATCTTAACAAAGTTAAATCTGGTTTCTTTTTTTGTTGAGACATTTCATCCTTCATCCGAAGGACTTCATCAGTCCGGAGAGCCACAACAAACTTAGCCCCGCAAGTAGCACACTCGCATTGTGGGCCAACTCATTTACTGATGAAGTCACTTGGATTAAGGTCAAAATATTAAAAAAAAAAAAAATGTCCAGATGATCTAACTTAACTTCTGTTATCACCAGAAAATTGGTTGGTCCACTATGGGAGTGTGCTGCTTGTGGGACTGAGTGTGTTGGGGCTCCTCGGACTGATGAAGTCCATTGGATGAAGGATGAAACATCTCGTCAAAAAAAGAAACCAGATCCAGATGACCTGACTGAACTTTGTTGTAATTTTGACATCAGTCATTTCAGTAAATATGACTCTCTTGTATTCATAATGCAGCGGGTTTATAAAGTCTTTAAGTGAATATGCTCTTTTGGTTTATTAATGAGTGATGTCCATTACGTTGAGCAGCTTGTTCTTCTTCCTTTTAGCCTTTTGAAACACGAGTCAGTCTTCAACACAAAGACATTTCTCTTTATCAGTTGAGTATTTATTATTCAATCAAGGGCTCTGATCCTGCTGCGTCAGCAGAAAGCTATCGAGCATATCCCGCCTCTGCCAGAAATTCAACGTGTTTCTGTAAACTCAAATAAAGAAAGATAAGCAGTACAGTCTGATTTGTTCTCGTTTGTCTCGATGTTGTTCCCGTCTGTTGTCCAGGTAATCATCCAGGTATCTGTTTCCCACAGTTATCTACTAGACAGTGGCTAGAGCTGTCGCCTCACAGCGAGAAGATGTCCGTTTTAGATCTTGTTGGTGTTTCTGTGAAATTTGAGTTGCATTGATTGTCAAATTGTTGAGATTACAAGTCTTTGATGTGTTCCTGAGCTTCTGACCAATCTCTCACACAAACAGCATTTCAGTCGTACAGACTGTGTCCTGATTTTCATTCGGTCACCATTCCAAACATTTGCAGAGGTATCTGCACTTTTTTTTAAGCACCTAAGGAATCGGAGACCATTCTCCTGATTGTGCTGTCTGCTTGCCCAGATTAGGCTGCTAAGAACATTTATGACATCTTTGAGGCAGAACTTCAGGGAAATAAGCAAATTGCAAATAATTCTGTTTGGTTACTTAGCTGGCCCAAAAAAAAGGGGGTTTCCAGGTCTTTCATAATATAGAAAAACAAAATTCTCACTATTACTTTTTTATTTTGTGTATATCTATATAAGACACAAGCAACCATGCTTTAAGTCCAATCAGACAGATCAACAACTAGTGAGAGGAATAAAAGAGACTTTGCTTGCATGCTTTTATGGTGCACATCAGGAGAAGGTATAAAGTATAAAGCAGTCTGCCAGAACAACACGAGGTCTCAAATTTGTTTGGTTCAAAAACAACCAGAGTCCAACTTAATGATGAATTACCTCACAAAGTTGTGCAAACTGGTTTTCATTACTCTGACAAAGGCCTCATAGGATTTTAGAGGACATCACTGCCACTCAATAAAACAAATTTAGTCTGTGATGGAGCCAGAGATGTGCAGCATGATTGGATCAGTTTGATAAATCTGAAGACTTTAGTCATGCCATCAAGTCAGCACATAGCAGAACCTCAAAAGTCAAATATAATCCATCCAATGTCCAAAGCAAAAAATAGAGAAAAATGGGTAAAATCTATTAGGAAATTTCAACTAAAATGTAATGGACGTAATAATGTGTAATAAACAAAAATATGTATTCAATAATTCCTCAGTTAAGAATATTCTGTCCTCTCTATGACTCTGTAAAATGTTAAATAATTTGGTTTTAATTTCATTTTAAAAAGCCGACCAACAAAAAATGTCATCCTGAGAAAAACATGTTTTAAAACCGAACAGAGTGACTCATCTTCTTGTGTTAATGCTTTGCTGCGGTGTATTCTGAACCTGACAGTCACAGCTCAGGGCAAAATATGAAAATGCAGTCATACTTTGATCACGTGGTTCTGTTTTTATAAACGGTTGTCACATGACGTTGTGTCAGTTTGCAACATGGCGGCCAGCTCCCGGCTGTTGCTGATCCCTCTGTTGCTTTTCTTCAGCGGGGTTTTTAGTTTTCCTCTCGACCAGAAGAAAACAGACACAACCACCTGCGGATACCAGGTGAGCTGCCATTTTGTGTTTTAACGTTTGTTTAACCTCCCAGCTGTTAGCTTAAGGTGCTAATTTCAGTTTCCTCTGCTGTCAGTTTGCAAGGAAATACTTTTACTGACAGTAAAACCGAAAGCCGGGGTTTTTCCTCCCTCATTACTCAGTTCAGTTTTACTAACAGTTCTGGTTGTTAAACTGTTTGACACGAAGGGTCCTCCGATCGGATGGTTGTGGGTTCGATCCCCAGTCCCTGCAGCGTGCAATAAGTAGAAATAGAAAGAAGTGCTGAATGTTTGTATGTGTGCTTGTATTAATGGGTGAATTAACCTTCTATAGATAAAATAGACACATTTTAATTCATAAAATGTGTTCGTGTCCTTGCAGTCATGTCATTCCACCAAAGCCGACATGCTGAATGTTCACCTGGTTCCTCACACACATGATGATGTCGGCTGGCTCAAGACTGTGGACCAGTACTTCTACGGAGGTCCGTCCTCTTCACTCACTGAATTTACTTTTACTTCTTGATCAGTTCTGTGCTTCTAATTTTCTCTCATTCTCTCAAAAAGAGTGAGCTTGTTGCATTTAGCTTTAAACGTAGAAATGTCATTTTGTCAAAACTAAATCTGACATTTGACCACGTTCTTAATACTCTACAGACTAATTTATACCCTATATGAATGATTCATATTCTATATGACTGATCCATACCCTATATGACTGATCCGTACCCTGTATGACTGATACGTACCCTGTATGACTGATCAGTACCCTGTATGACTGATCAGTACCCTGTATGACTGATCCGTACCCTGTATGACTGATACGTACCCTGTATGACTGATACGTACCCTGTATGACTGATCAGTACCCTGTATGACTGATCAGTACCCTGTATGACTGAGCCGTACCCTGTATGACTGAGCCGTACCCTGTATGACTGATCCGTACCCTGTATGACTGATACGTACCCTGTATGACTGATTCGTACCTGTATGACTGATTTGTACCCTATATTTAATAATTCACCTTATAATCTAGCTGGTTTTTGTTACTTTTTTTGCCATCATATTTGTAAAAAAAAAATATATATATATATATCTATATATGTATGTCTTTTTTGAGGCTGTCTATTGTTGTCATCATTCTTTGTTAAGATCAGGTCTCTCTTCTAAATGAGTCCTCGAGGCTCAATGGGATTTACCTGGCTGAATAAAGGCTGAATGAATATGACTGATTGATTCATACCCTGTATGACTGATTCATACCCTGTATGACTGATTCATACCCT